AAACCGAACCCCCAAAGGCCACGGAAACCAAGCCCCCAGAGGCCACGGAAACCGAGCCCCCAGAGGCCACGGAAACCGAACCCCCAGCAAAAGCAACGGAAACCGAGCCCACAGCAGAGGCCACGGAAACCTAACCCCCAGAAGCCACGGAAACCGAGCCCCAATGTGCCACGGAAACCGAGCCCCCAGAGGCCACGGAAACCGAACCCCCAGAGGCCACGGAAACCAAGCCCCCAGAAGCCACGGAAACCGAGCCCCCAAAGGCCACGGCCCCCAGAAACCACGGAAACAGAACCACGGAAACGACACGGAAACGGAACCACGGAAAGAAACACCACAGGCCACGGAAACAAAACCCCACAGAGCGGTAGCGCAGAGTAGCTTAGGGCGCCGATGGATTGAAATCGGGATTCAAAACGCCGCCGCGGTGGGCAAGCGGGGGGCGCCGATGGATTGAAATCGCGATTCAAAACGCCGCCGCGGTGGGCAAGCGGGGGGCGCCGATGGATTGAAATCGCGATTCAAAACGCCGCCGCGATGGGCAAGCGGGGGGCGCCGATGGATTGAAATCACGATTCAAAACGCCGCCGCGGTGGGTAAGTTGGGAATTGCGAAAAGAAGATTTAAAACTTACAATGATGTAGTCTGTGTATAAAGATGGAAATCACGATTTCGTTCTTTTACTTTGGAAGACGAAGGAAGAAGTTGAAAATCGCGATTTAAATCTTTAGAAATTGTGATTCCACTCTTTTTCAGGAGGAGAGGAGGAGGAGGAGGAGGAGGAGGAGGGGAGGAGGAGGAGGAGGGGAAGAGGAAGAGGAGGGGGAGGTAGGGAAGGAGGAGGAGGAGGAGGAGGAGGAGGAGGAGGAGGAGGGAGGAGGAGATAGGAGATTGGGGGGGATATGAGGAAGGGGAGGAGGAGGAGGAGGAGGAGGAGGAGGAGGAGGGGGAGGGGGAGGAGGAGGAGGAGGAGGAGGAGGGGAGGAGGAGGAGGAGGAGGAGGAGGAGAGGAGGAGGAGGTGGAGGAGGAGGAGGAGGAGGAGGAGGAGGAGGTGGAGGAGGAGGGGGAGGGGGAGGAGGAGGACGAGGAGGAGGAGGAGGAGGAGCAGGAAGAGGAGGAGGATGAGGAGGAAGAGGAGGAGGAGGAGGGAGGAGGGAGGAGGAGGGGGAGGAAGAGGAGGAGGAGGAGGAGGAGGAAGGAATCCTCCAGGATAACTGGCCTGTGGCACTCCATGAACATTGACCTGTGTGTTTTGTAATGGTTTGATATATGTTGTGCCCTGTTTTGCTCTATTCCCTGACTCGCGACATAGACGATGTCATATGGAGGGGGTGAGGTGGGGAGCCACCCCATGAGATGAACGAGAGAGACCACGGAACCAGGAGAAGGAGGAGGGAGGGGGGAAGGAGACCAGACAAACCACAATCAGGACGCTGCGCACGGTTCGGACTATCCTGCCAAGGTGCCGGGGCTGTGTTTCAGAGGCCTCTGGGGTGTTCGTTGGCACCTTGTTGGAAGCCTCTGGGAGCCTCTTTCGGGCCTCGTGGGGGCCTCTTGGGGCCACTGGAAGGCCTCTTGGGGGCCTCATGGCGCCTCTTCGGGGCCTCTTAGGGCTTCCTGAGGGCCTGTGAGGGCGTAAGGCTGGAATTGTGGGTTCGTGTTCCCCCTCTTGGGCCCCTCATGGGGCCGCTCTGCCGTTGGGCCGTCATGGGGGGTCTCTTGGGCCGTCTGGGGTCCTCTCGGGTTGTCTTGGGGCTCCCATCGAGGCCTCCGAGGGGTTTCTTGGGGGCCTTTCGGGCAGTCTTGGGGCGGTCTGGGGCGCATCTTCAAGACTCTTGAGCCGTCTTTGAGCTTGGAGCGTTCGAAGGCCGAGAAGGCTTGCACGCAAAAATCGTTCAAAAACTCATGGACAGTAATGAGTGTTGGCCTGTCTGGGCACACACCCGGGTCCTCTTGGAACCTTCTTGGGCCGTCTTGGGGGCCTCTTGGGCAGTATGGAAAGCTTCTTGGGCCGTCGGAGCCCCCAGGAGGCTTTCTTGGGGGTAGTTCGGGTGGGATTGCGACTGCAGATCAGCCTCGCGCAAAGTTCACGGGGGCAGCATGCGCTGCCGAACCAGGCGGCCCCAGAAGGAGAAGAGGAGGACGAGATTCAATATGTCCCTCAAAACGGTGATCAGAACTTTCGTGCCAGTCCAAGAATCAGTTTGGAGAAGAACCGTCTCCGCATGAGGATGAATGAACTTGATCCGAGCCTCATCCTACGCAGCGGCCGCGACGGGACCGTCAACTGGTCACTCGGAGGACGCTATCAAGTCGTTTCCTCATTAAGTCTATAAACCGATCACGCCTTGCACACCCTTTCAATTTTAGGGAAAAGGCTTTTTTGGGAAGGAAGCGGGCTTGCAACTGCATGGCTGCCTCGCGCAGAGTTCACGGGGCAGCATTCGCTGCCGAACCAGGCGGCCCCAGAAGGAGAAGAGGAGGACGAGATTCAAAATGTCCCTCAAAACGGTGATCAGAACTACCGATCACGCCTTGCACACCCTTTCAATTTTAGGGAAAAAGGCTTTCGTTGGAGGGAAGCGGGCTTGCAACTGCATGGCTGCCTCGCGCAGAGTTCACGGGGGCAGCATTCGCTGCCGAACCAGGCGGCCCCAGAAGGAGAAGAGGAGGACGGGAGTCGATGTGCTCCCCCGGTCGGTGATCAGAATTCTAATCCTGTGCAGCGGCCGCGACGGGAACGTCACGTGAATTAGGCGAGCTAGGCGAGGATCCAGGGGCCGCGACGGGAACGTCACGTGAACTAGGGGAACCATCATCATCATGTCATTGTTTCCGAGAGGTCGCACCCCTCGCGCGATCGCTACTGGCACGGACAGGCTGCCTCGGGGCGAGCAGGCCAGGATCCAGAGACCAGGCTGCCTGCGTCGCCGGCGAACGCCGGCGGAGGCCCTATCTCCGGCGCATCTCTGGCATGGGGGGGCGGCTCCAAAAGTGGCGACAGTTTCACAGATCGCAGCCCCCCAGGGATGGCGAGGTCAAATTTGAGTCTGCGGTGGGTACCCACTGTGCTGGCCCCCCCCGCAGGCCTCGAAAGTGGCGACAGTTTCACAGATCGCAGCACCCCAGGGATGGCGAGGTCCCATTTGAGTCTGCGGTGGGTACCCACTGTGCTGGGCCCCCCAGCAGGCCTCGAAAGTGGCGACAGTTTCACAGATCGCAGCACCCCAGGGATGGCGAGGTCCCATTTGAGTCTGCGGTGGGTACCCATTGTGCTGGGCCCCCCAGCAGGCCTCGAAAGTGGCGACAGTTTCACAGATCGCAGCCCCCCCAAGGGATGGCGAGGTCCCATTTGAGTCTGCGGTGGGTACCCACTGCACTGGGCCCCTCAGCAGGCCTCGAAAGTGGCGACGGTTTCACAGATCGCAGCCCCCCAGGGATGGCGAGGTCAAATTTGAATCTGCGGTGGGTACCCACTGTGCTGGGCCCCCCAGCAGGCCTCGAAAGTGGCGACAGTTTCACAGATCGCAGCACCCCAGGGATGGCGAGGTCCCATTTGAGTCCGCGGTGGGTACCCATTGTGCTGAGGCCCCCAGCAGGCCTTGAAAGTGGCGACAATTTCACAGATCGCAGCCCCCCCAAGGGATGGCGAGGTCCCATTTGAGTCTGCGGTGGGTAGCGACAGTTTCACCAATCGCAGCCCCCCAAGGATGGCGAGGTCACATTTGAGTCTGCGGTGGGTACCCACTGTGCTGGGCCCCACAGCAGGCCTCGAAAGTGGCGACAGTTTCACAGATCGCAGCACCCCAGGGATGGCGAGGTCCCATTTGAGTCTGCGGTGGGTACCCACTGTGCTGGGCCCCCAGCAGGCTTCGAAAGTGGCGACAGTTTCACAGATCGCAGCACCCCAGGGATGGCGAGGTCACATTTGAGTCTGCGGTGGGTACCCACTGTGCTGGGCCCCCCAGCGGGCCTCGAAAGTGGCGACAGTGTCACAGATCGCAGCCCCCCAGAGATGGCGAGGTCCCATGTGAGTCTGCGGTGGGTACCCACTGTGCTGGGCCCCCCCGCAGGCCTCGAAAGCGGCGACAGTTTCACAGATCGCAGCCCCCCAGGGATGGCGACGAGCGAAGTAAAAGGCAAGGGGGAAGAGAGGGACGGGAAGGAAGGAAGGAGACGCGCGAGCAGTGCTTTATTCAAAACGAGAACCCAACGCAGGAGGGTTGGGGAAATTGCTTATTTCCTTCGTACAACGTATAGTTTTCACAAATTTGCCTCGTGGGCTTTCCGACGCTCCAAGGCGGCCCAGGAGGCCCCGAAGACCGGCCCAAGACGGCCCAAGAGGCCCCCAAGACGGCCCCACGACGGCCCAAGATGGCCCCAAGACGGCCCAAGAGGTCCCCAAGACGGCCCAAGAAGGCTCCAAGACGGCACCAAGAGGGGCCCAAGAGGGCAACCAAAAATTCAAAAATCTAGTTTTCCGCCCCCACGAGCCCCAGGGGGCCCCAAGAGTGCCCCAAGAGGCCGCCAGAGGCCCCCAAGAGTCCGCCAAGACGCTCCAAGGAGCCCCCAAGAGGCCCCCAGGAGGCCTCCAAAAGACCCCCAGACGTTTCCGTATTGCGAGCCGTCAAACCAACTGCAATGCACTCCGCGCATGCAGCCTTACTCTTCCTCGCGACGTGCTCACAATCTTGCTCGGCGCGAACGTGCTGCTGCCACGCGAACTGTTTCGTGCGCGCTGCGAACGTCAACAGCCTCTTCACCCGTTTCGACTCATCTGCCACATCTTTCGCGGTGATGCTTCGCTGATCACAACTTCCGCACGCTACTCTTGCTCGTTTCGTTTTCCGGTGGTCCTCCACTTGGTTGCGGGTCGAAAGGCCGACCTCCCAGAAGGACACCCCGCATCCGGGCGCACAGCACGCAAGGCGCTCGCAAAACACGCCCCAGACCACCGGCATCACGCAAACATTTGGACCCCCTACGTATCTGCCACCACCCGCGCGCGACACCGCACCCTCACACAAGACGCCGCTGGCCAGAAACTCCTGGCCTCGCAACGGTCACAGAAGGGGTCGGCGGATGTGGCGTAAGCCTGTAGAATCATTCAAATTGGCACGGCAGGCCTTCAGGAGCACCCAGCATCGCCCCAAGAGGCCGCCAAAATCCCGTCGGGAGAGATGGGCAGAGCGAGCCTGCACGTGTTTTATTGCAGCGAAGGCGCGGTGGCGGGGTTAGCCGCAGACATCTGGATACTCAGAACGTGCCGGGAATATTGTCCTGGCCAGTCGTGAAGGCGCCAAGGTGGACGGGAGGATACGAGAGAGAGAGAGAGAGACGAGAGAGCTACAAAACATATAATTGGATGCTTGACGGAGGGCGCCGGTCATCATGTGGGTTTGAGCACGGGCGCGTACGCCACCGTCCACAGTGCCATCCAAAGAGCAACATTCCACATAATGCAATTTAACGGCGCGAGGATCACACCCAAACTGCAACGGCAACAACTGGTCGTCAACAGGTAAGCACAGGTCCAGACAAAAGTGTAACACAACACAGCAATTGTCGATGAGACGGCGAGCATGATAACGACGTTGGTGCAATTGTTGGCGTCTCCGGGCACTTCCTTGAATATGCCAGCATTGAAGATTCTTGGGACATCTAACAGAGGCACGGCGTCCATGAACGTTTCGGTGAACACCACCACGAGGAACGAGAACGCTCCGAGGCACATGGCGTAGAAGCGGTGGTCCCAAAACGCCAGCGCCCGCGCGTGCAGCGGGCCCTTGACTCGCTCGATGGCGTCCCGTGCCGCCTCGTCCGCGAACGCCTCGCGGGTGAGCTTTACGGCCCCCTTGCTAAGGAACACCGTGGTGCAGAACCTCTCGGCGTGGTAGATCACGCCGACAAAGACCCCGCAGAAAAGAAAATGCACGGGCTGCGGAAACCCTGGGGTCGCGGGGCCGGCCAGTACGAGGGCACAGTAGGCGTACACGACAATGCCCGGGAGGACGAATCTCCTTGTGTTGAAGTTCATCGAGGCCACGGCGGTGACCAACATCCTGATGACCGGGTCGCAGCCCTGAAGGCGGTACTCAAACACGTCTAGCGTATGCCCGGCCTTGTCCAGGTCCTGGACGATGGAGAAGAGCAGGAGCAGGAGCACGAAGACGAAGACCATGACCGTGCCCAGGGTCAGCGAGTCTTTGAAGTCCCAGATGAAGTCGCACCTGTCCACCGCGTGCGCGGCGCAGTGTTCCACGGCAGCGGAAAGACCGGCGTAGGAGAGCTCCTCGTAGGCGCCCGGGCCGAGCCGCACGGGGAGGGCCGCGTAGTGTATCGGGACCTGCGCCGCGTCCAGGGCCACGTCGAGCCCTCTTCGGCCTTGTGCCACCATCGGCAGTACTGACGATGCTGGTGGCGTCGGCGCCCATGTCGGCGCTTGCGTCGGGCCTTGTACCGTCGAGTTTTGTACCACCCAAGGAAGGAATAATGGTGTCGGTGCTGGCAATGGTGTCGGTGCTGGCGTGGTGCTGCTCTCCGTGGTGCTGCTCAAAGCTGCGGTGCTGGTAGCAGTCGTGCTGCTCTCTGAAATGGTGCTCGACGCACTGCTGGTCTGACTTGAAGAAGTCGGAGTCGTGCTGCTGCTCTCCGTCGTGCTGCTCAAAGATGCGGTGCTGGTAGCAGTCGCACTGCTGGTCTCGTGGAGCTGCGTGGCCCACAAGCAGGCGTCGCACGTGCCCGGCAGGGCCTCGTAGCCGCCGAGGCTCCAGCTGGGCGAGCACCAGGTGCCCGAAGGGCAGTCCTCGTTGCGGACGCAGGTGGGGTTCAGGGCCTCGAGGCTGACGGAGTGGAGCACGATGGCCTGGAGCAGCAGGAGCAGGGCAGACGGCACCAGGGCGCAGCACCTGCCGCAGCACGTGGCGCCCTGCCGCGTGGCGGCGGACATGCCCCAGGCGTGCACACCGACGCAGTTGATGTTCCTCTGGGTCAGGTCAAGGAAATCAGCGTACGCGGCCTGCTGCCTATCGGGATCCGTCTCCGCCTCGGCGCCGTAGTCGTCGCCCTCCTCGGGCACGGCGGGCAAGGACCCCATGTCCTCGTCCGTCGACGGCGCCCGCGTGGCGCCGGCGTCCGCCGCGGGGTGCCACGCCTGGGAATTGTGCACGCTCCTCTCCATCTTGGCCACCCGGTCGGACAGCGCCCCGACGTGCGCCTCGATGGCCGCGTTGCTTGCCTGGAGGTTCCTGTCCGGCCGCTCGCCTCTCCACGTTGTCGAGCGCATTGTAGGCGGCCGACTCCTCGGCCGCGGTGAGGCCGCCGCCCTCGCCGAGGCCGCCCACGGCGTCCGAAACGAACTGCAGCATGCTGCCTTGCGTGGTCGCCGGCCTCAGGCGTGGGGCCGGAGATGAGCTCCTGGAGGATCGCGAGGACCTCGAGCTGCCTGCGGCGTCTGGGCGCGGAGAGCGCGGAGAGCGCCCCGCGCTGCCTGCGGCGTCTGGGCGCGGAGACCGCCTGTCTCGGCCCATCCCGCCGCGCCGGTCCTGCACACGCACCGGCCAAGCACAAGAGCCCACGGGTGCGCGGAGGCGCGCGCCGCGCCAGCTACTTTGGGCCGGCGGTTCTTGAGCCAAAAATGGTTATTGGGCCCTCTTGGGTTTCTCTTGGGACCTTATTGGGACTCTCTTGGGGCCCTGTTGGGGCCTTCTTCGGAGCATATCGGGCCATCTTGGAGGCCATCGGTCATCAGAGGAGGGGGTCGCGGATTCCCCTCCTCCTCTGATGATCGATGAATTTCCCTCCCCCTCTGATTTCCCCCGTCTGGGTCGCGGTTGTGAATTAGCCACGATGAGCCACGAAATAGCCACGGCAATACATCGATTTTAGCCACGAGTAGCCATGTTTAGACACGATGTTTTTCCCCATATCCTAAGATGGGGTTCTTGTTATTACTTGGACGCCTCCTACTCCTCCTCCTCCCTCCTCCTCTTTTCTCCTCCCCTCCTGTCGGACATACTCAGACTTGCTCATACACAGACTTACTCATACTCAGACTTACTCATACTCAGACCTACTCATACTCAGACTTACTCACACTCAGACATACTCATATACAGACTTACTCATACACAGACTTACTCATACACAGATTTGGAGGATGTCTCGAGCGAGGCGCTCATTTCAGCACCCCTAAGGGGAGCCGCCAGGGGTGTTTGCACGGGCTCGTTCGCGGCCATTTTGTGGGGATGTCTCAGGCGGTTTGCTTGTTTCTGGGCCCAACATCCTTCGCTTTCGGAGCAGATTTGGAGGATGTCTCGAGCGAGGCGCTCATTTCAGCACCCCTAAGGGGAGCCGCCAGGGGTGTTTGCACGGGCTCGTTCGCGGCCATTTTGTGGGGATGTCTCAGGCGGTTTGCCTGTTTCTGGGCCCAACATCCTTCGCTTTCGGAGCAGATTTGGAGGATGTCTCGAGCGAGGCGCTCATTTCAGCACCCCTAAGGGGAGCCGCCAGGGGTGTTTGCACGGGCTCGTTCGCGGCCATTTTGTGGGGATGTCTCAGGCGGTTTGCTTGTTTCTGGGCCCAACATCCTTCGCTTTCGGAGCAGATTTGGAGGATGTCTCGAGCGAGGCGCTCATTTCAGCACCCCTAAGGGGAGCCGCCAGGGGTGGTTGCACGGGCTCGTTCGCGGCCATTTTGTGGGGATGTCTCAGGCGGTTTGCTTGTTTCTGTGCCCAACATCCTTCGCTTTCGGAGCAGATTTGGAGGATGTCTCGAGCGAATTTTCACCCCCAGGTGGGCCAGATTTTGAGGATGTCTCGATCGGTTTGCTTGTTTTGGTGGCCAGGCTCGTGGGCGCAGATTCTTCTCAGGATGCCACAGGAGGCTCCAACAGGCTCCAGGAGGCCCCAGGAGACCACATGAGGTCCCAGGAGGCATCAGGAGGCCACAGAAAGACTCAAGATGCCACAGGATGTCCCAAGAGGCTCCAGGAGGCCCCAGGAAGCTCCAGAAGGCCTCAGGAAACCACAGGAGGCCCCAGGAGGCAACAGGAAGCGCCAGGAGGCCTCGGAAGGCAACAGGAGGCCCCGAGAGGCCCCAGGAGCAGGAGGCCTCAGAAGGCAACAGGAGTGGCTCCAATCCCATGTGTTTTACGTATGCTCCTATCGATTGGGCCTCACCTGGAGCACGATTCTTTGATGTTCTACGTGTGTTTCTATAGATGGTCTTTCTCCTGTGTACACAATCCTAAATGTTTACTCATGTTCCTATGTATTGGGCCTCTCCTGGGGCACGAGTCCTTGGTGTTTTACGCGTGTTCCTATAGATTGCCCTTCTCCTGTGGCTCTAATCCGCAATGTTTTATGTACGTCTGTTGCTATAGATTGCGCCTCTCCTGGGGCACGAAACCTTCCTAGGAGGTCCCAGGAGGTCCCAAGAGGCTCCTGGAGACCCCAGGAAGCCCCAGTAGGTTTCAGGAGGCCCCAGGAGGCCCCAGGCTCATGCACAGAGACGCGCTCGTACTACTGAGGCTCATTCACACTCCAATTCATTCGCAGTTAGATTGATGTCCAGACCGTCACAACTGAAGCCCGCTAATATTCGAAAGCTCTTGCGCCTAGACATTCACGGCGGACAGGTCCATGCGAGTAGATGCACATATGGGGAGATCCACGCAGTGAGTAATTAGACACGACATGTTTTAAGACATGTGCAGATTCTTATGTTTAGCCATTCGTAAGCCACGCCCAAACGAGAAACATGCGCGGCTAAACCCGGCTATTACTCACTGCGTGGAGCTCCCCATATGTGCATCTCATGTTTTATGTCATGCCGTGGTGAGAATATGTTCATGAGCGGTCGACTACAACAGCGCGTCCACGTGGGCGACAGGGCCGACGAAGACGAGTGACCCCTAATGCGAGTGATTGCGTATGAGTCAGAGTGAGCTTTGAGTATGGTTGAATGCGAGCCTCTTCCTCTTCATCTCCCCTCCTCAGCTGCCAGGCCTTCCCCTTGTCAGCCCGTGGTAGCTTTGGATCCTCCCATATGCGCATATGCCCCTTAGGGGTGCTGAAACTTGCGCCCCGCCTGAAACATCCTCACAATCTGCTCTCCAAGCGAAGGATGTTGATCCCAGAAACAAGCAAACCGCCTGAGACATCCCCACAAAATGGCAGCGAACGAG